TTGTTTTTAAACAGAGCCTCAGACAGTCAAAGTCAGCGTTAGACTCACTGTGTGGCCAAGGGTGACCTTGAACTTTTGACCCTCATGCTTCCACTTCCCAGGTGCACTCTGAGATTGCAGGTGTGCACCATCACACCTGGTTTTATGGAGCTGCATATTGAATCTAGGGTCACATTTGGGCAAGCACTCTATCAACTGAGACACATGCCTAGTGTTGAAGTAGCTCTTTAAAGAAATAAGGCACAGATGGTTCAGTCTTGGTATACTACATGCAATTAAAATCAATAAAGCCTGGAAGACCATGCTGTGTTCCATTATGGTTTAAAAAAAAGCACGAACTTAAGTAGTTCATTTGTGGTTAAAATAGCCATCACACAGTAGGTGCTTTTGTCTTTGCATTTTGACCATCTTTCTGACCACCTTCTTGCTTGGAAGACAGCCATCAAGCAGTAAGGCACTCCTACCACAGTAAACCAGTAAAATAAGAATAGTTACAGTGCTGCCAGCTGCATTCACATTTGAGATTAGTGCTACACTTAGTCTTCTTCAGAGCTTGCTTAACTGCCAGGAGTGGCAGCTACTGCAGAAACCCCAAGCTAGCCAGACCACAGAGAGTAAGGGATGGTGACATAGTCAGCTCCAAATGTGACTCTGTATCACCTCCAATGCTCAAGGAACATCATAAAAGAGGAGGTCCAAAGAATGTAAGCACCAGAGGATGGGGAGATGCACCTTTTCACATGACATAGCTGTTGTACTCATGAACTCACTACAGCTGTTGTTATCTTCAAGATCTGCATAGAATTGGGCTCTCAACATTTTGTCACAGATGGGAAGCAACCATCAGTTCCTACCTCTCCCTGAGGAACTATTGCAGTTAATGGTGGCTGAAGGAGGATATAGTTTTCTTCAGTGATTTAGCCACTCAGAAGTTGCCCATGCTCAAGTAAATAGCCTCCCACCCATGCTCTTGCAATCAGGCAATTCTAATTAAACTTGGTGGGTCACACACAGAAGACATGAAGGCAGGAGGGTGGACTTGTTGAGAGGAAGAAGGGTTTTGCAGGAAAGGGATGATAGGGGAATGGGAGGGTTGTGAAAATGACTAGAATTTATTATATACATGTATGAAACTATGAAGGAATAAAAAATGGGGGAAAAGAATACAATGTTCAGGACAGTTTTAGCTGTGGAAGTATGTGCACCCCATCTAGCCATTTGTGGTTGTCATCTTCATTTAGCTAACCCCTCCTCCCCTGTGTACTGCTTCGAATGTCCTCATTCAGGCTCTGGTGGGGGTTATTCTTGAGGAGCACAGGTAACATTGAGAGGCTGTGAGGCAGCAGATTGGCTGGATTGCCACCACAGCATCTGCAGTGGCCTGAGAGCAGGGCATAGCAGCAAGGCAGGTGGGGACAGCTTGCCAGGAATCTGGTTGTCTGCGTTTGCTTGCCTGTGTATACCATTGAGGACTCTGCTGCTTGGTGGTGTTTGTGGTGGGATATGCTGCCTCAGGCACTTAGTGTGAGGCGATTGAGGAGACAGCCAGTGCTGTTGCCTTTCCCTGCTGGCAGCAGACTTCGGAGAGCTGAGTGGACACCAAGAAACACATCTCAAACGATGAGTAGGTCTCATCTTGTTTGCAGAGAACAGTTGTCAGTTGCAGGTGATCGGGAAGCACTGTGATTGACTACATCAGTCCCTGTGTATTCCAGGCTCTTCCTGGCTCTGGGCTGACAGAAGGTGGGGTGGGGTAGAGTATGTGGTGTGGGGAGGAAATGGAAATGGAAATTGCAGAATACTTTGAGTGTGGAAAGGAAAGCACTAGACACTGCCTTTGGAAATAGGTGATGCAATTCTCCCAGAGGAGTTAATTTTGTTAACCTTGGTTGACCTATAGATAAATGGTAGGGTAGCATTTGAAACATGTAGATCATTCTTCCAGGCTTACATGTGTTTAAGAGTATTACAATGGTGAGGAGATTATCTTTGTTTATAATCTGACTGTTTTTTTGTGTTCTGTTCAAGTTTTTACATTATTTTGTGCCATTTTACTGCTCTGGTAATTGATGTAATTATATATAAGTATTAGGCTGGTGAGATGGGTCAGGAGGTAAAGGCAGTTGTCACCAAGGTTGACAACTTAAGTTTGAACCTGGGGACCCACATAGTGAAAGGATAGAAGCAATTCTGTCAAGTTGTCCTCTGACCTCCATACATACTCTCCTCAATAAATGTAAAAAAGTTACACATAAACATACAAGCATTTAACTTATAGAAACAGTACAGTGTAATTGGTAAAGCATTGTGTGAGATGAGGTATAGGCCGGGCTGGTAGAGGAGAAACCCAAAATGCAGTAGGAGCATAGGTTCAAATGTGCTACTGCCATGCTTAAGGGTTGATAGCTCAAGGGTGGTAGAGTGGCCCTGCTTTTCCTGGTGTATCACTTCTGTCTGTACCTAAGCATTTTCTCCAGTTATATAACCAGTGGACATGGGAATGGATATATCAAGTTGCCTGTCTCATATGTGCTTACATCTCATTCGGCTACAACTTAGATACATGGTCATATCTAGTGTGGCAGTCACGGGACTAATCATAGATACTTGAGTTCTCTTCCTTTGGGCACTGGCTGATTTCATTTCTGTTCTTGTCATGAAATATCCTTATAAAAAGCAACATAGGGGAAAGAGTTTCTCTTAGCTTAGAGTTCAAGGTTACAGTCCATAAATATAGTGGAGTCACCGCAGCAGGAGCTTGAAAGAAACAAATGCACCCATGCTGCCTGCTTATTTATTTGCTTGTATTCTGCTAACTGTATGCTTAGAGAGCTCAGGGCTCAGCCCATGAAATGGTGCCACCCAGAATGGGTTAGGTCCTCCTACATCAGTTGACAGTCCCCACATACATGACCACTGGCCAACCTGATCTAGACAATTCCCTATTACAACTCTTCCCAGGCAGCTATAGGTTGTGGTAAGTTGACATTTAAAACTATCACAGGCACATTCAGATATATTTTCTTTAAAATCCACTTGTGGGTGTGTGACTTGCTTGAAGAGCTAGTGAAACGAAATGCAGGGCATTTCTGATTTCTAGAAGGTAGACCAGTGGTTTAAACAGGCACCATGTGTAAAGAAAGGGAGCAAACAGATACAGATATTCTTTCAGTTTACAGCCACAAATGGGGACAGCTGGCAAAAGACCCTAGCTGATGTGTGTGCTGGTGGATGTGATCCAGTAAAAAGGAAGGGATAGATGGTGTCGCTATTGTCATCATTGTTATCATCATCCCCCTCCTCATTCACTTCATCCTCCTCTTTCTTTGTTTTTGAGACAGAGTCATTTGTGTAGCCCTGTCAGATAGTGCCTTAGGGTTCTGTTGCTGTGATAAAACACTGGAACGAAGGCAACTTACAGAAGAGAGTTTTGTTTTGTTTTGTTTTTGAGCTTGTGGTTCCATAGGGTCCATGATGGCAGAGTGGAGGTAGCAGGTTCAGGCAGCCAGAACAGCAGCTAAGAGCCCACGTTTTGAACCCCAACCAGGAGGCCAGGAGCACACCGGGAATGGTACAAGTCTTTTGAAACCTCAAAGCCTGCCCACAGTGACACACCTCCTCCAACAGGGCCACAGTTCCTAATCCTTCCCAAAGAGTTCCACTTATGGGGACCAAGTGTTCAAACATTTGAGCCTGTGGGGGCCATTCTTCTTCACAGATGGTAAATCAGATCAGACACAATCAAACAGACCAGCCAAAGAGAGCTTTACAATTTGTGTTGTTATTGTGTGTATGATGTGTTTGTGGGGTGCACACAAGCTGTGGTGTGTGAGAATGTCAGTGAACTACTCTGTGGAGTTGGTTCTCAAAAGAGAGCTTTTTAAGGAAAGAGAATACATTGCTTTTCTGCCAAAACACCAAGCCAAACCAAAGAACTGGAAAACCCCAAGTCATCTGAGTGACTTCCCCGACTCTGAATGGTGAGTCTTCCTGTGCTGGCTCCTGTGTCCATGCTCGGCCCTGACTGCTCTTCTCCTTGCAGGCTGTTGTAGCTATTTTAGCGACTGCCATTTCTGAGTCCAGCAGGCATGTGCTTGTCTTGGAGCTCTGGTGGCTGTGACTCCCTTCTGCTGCAGTCTTTGGGGCTCACTACCCTACTTCTGTCTGTTGCTTTTAAAGGGTACTTTTTCAGTGAGGTGGTCATGGAGACTGCTGGCAGTTGCACTCCTCCTCTGATAATTCCTCTACCCTGCTTTCCCCTCCAGATCACTTTCCACTACCTGAAAAACTGAATCATTCATGTCAATACTTGTTTGACTTGTGTGTGAGAGGCAGATTATTTTATTTTAATTTTTTGAGATGGTGTCTTACTCTGTACCCAGTGTGGCCTGGAACTTGGAGTAGCCCCTTTGGCTCAGCTTTCCAAGTTCTGGCTTTACAGGAACATGCCACTGAACCTGGCTTGGGGGTGTTGATTATAGTCTGTTGGCAAGAGTAGAACCAGATGAAGTGTACACAATCAAATGAGGAACGAGAGCGTAGAGAGAGGGTCAGATAAGATAAGTGTGTACATGTTTGCATAATCAGTGAGAGCACAGAGAGAGGGTCAGATAGCTTTAGGGAGCTGCTGGTGGAGTACCTTCTTATTTGTTTATAACTGTTATGTAAAAAGGATGAGAATGGAGTGGGGCAGGAGAAAGGGATTTTCAGTTTTGAGAAGAGCAGAGAAAGTGCAAAGCCTTGGAAAGTAGAATACTTTCCAGGTGCAGTAGAAGATTCCCGGATCGGTGAATATTTGTTGCGTATTTGCATGTGTATATTTGTTGTTTGTGATTTTCTGAAATAGAGTGTGTTTTCCAATCAGAATTTAACAGTGTTATAAAAGACAGTGAAGGGCTATGACATGAAGTGGTTAATGCTTAAATAATGATCCCTCTGAGCAACATTCTCTTTGCTGCTGACACAGAAGCCACACTAATGGAGAGTAATGTTCTTTTTAGCCTTGCCAATAGTTCTCGGGTTGTGGGACTCCTGGCCCAGCTGGAGAAGATCAATACGGATTCCACAGAGTCAGATACTGTCAGATATGTTACATCCAAAATTCTTCATTTGGCTCAAAGTCAAGGTAAGCTGGGATTCCATCTTGTTTTTGGAATACTTTTTCAATTCTTTAAAAGTGGATACTAAGGGGGCTCAGCAGTTAAAAGCACTGCTCTTCCAGAGGTCCTGAGTTCAATTCCCAGCAACCACATGGTGGCTCACAACCATCTGTAATGAGATCTGGTGCCCTCTTCTGGCCTGCAGGCATACATGTAGGCAGAACATTGTATACATAGTAAATAAATAAATCTTTAGAAAAAAAAGTAGATACTAAGAATGTTCTGATTTTTGATATGAAGAATATTCCAATTTTTGATAACTGAATGGTTTTCTGTAAAAATGGGCCTTTCTCAGATTGGTTTATAGAAGTAGGAAACTGAACGACTTTGGAGATAATTGATTTTCCATGCAGTTGTTTAGATTTGATCTCTGATCAGATGCCTGAGAAACAGATTATGGAGGAAATATGTATTTTGGCTCTGCTTCAGAGGCCACAGTTCATGGTCAGCTGGCACCGCTGTCTCTAGCCCTTCAGGAGGCTACATGCCATGGTGGGATGAGTGTGGGGGAGTCGATTTGCTCACTTCACAACAGCCAGGAAGCCAAGAATGCCTGCATGCGTGGACGGCCCCCTGCACTTTCCACTTAGTAACACCTCACAGGCATCTCAGTCTAGCATAGTCATCACTCAGCACGGAGACATACTTCGTACCCAATTTCCAAAGAAGATCATAATTTTACAATCCCATCTGACATAACATTACTATCCCTTGTAAAAACACACCCATAATAGTTCCTTCCCCGGGTCCCAGCAGTTCTAGTATTGCTCACAAGTTTAAGCCTGAGGGCTCTTCTGAGACTCAGACTCTTAGTTGTGAGCCACAGTAAGACCCACAGAAACCCACTTGCATCCAGTACACAGAGATGAACAGTGTTTATTCGCATCCTGATAATCTACCAAATTCTGTTGCTTCATTCCTGACATATGGGACATGTGTTAGTGTGATGTGAGCTCTTGAGGGCTGGGGTCATCCTGTCCCTTGAGTGTTCCCAGCTGTAGCCCATCTGACCTCTTCCCTGTGGGACTCTGCTTTCTCCTTGCAAATTTCCTCATCAGGTGTTTATGTTTCTGGGATCTCCATCTTCATACACCATCCTGATCCTGAAAAACACTTACTGAAGGTTGACAAATTGGAGCACAGGGATGAATTTTGTTGTAAGGAGGCCAAGAAGCTGGTGTTTACTTTTTAATCTTCGTGTCTTTTTGATTTTTTGAGACAGACTGTTTCTATGTGCTACCACCCTCGCTGTCCTGGAACTTGCTTTGTAGACCAGGCTGGCTTTGACCTCACAGAGATCCACCTGCCTCTGCCTCCCAAGTGCTGGGATTAAAGACATGTGCCACTACTGCCTGGCAGAACTATGGAAAGCTATTAGGGTCCAGCCCCTCAATAGCCTTCCAGAGTTCCAGAAGAGACGCTATTGGCGGTGGATTAATCTGAGGGGTTCACTAATAAATCTACACACACAAATCTCTTCAGTCCATATACTTTATTCTTCTGAGTCAGTTCTCCCTCTCCACAGCTTCTTTTCTGCTCTCATACTTAGGTCCTTTCTTGCCTGATTCTCTGTACCTCTTTCTACTGTTCCCTCTAAATGCTATCTTAATTCTTTCATCTTAGTTCTGCCCCATCTTGGTCTTTCTCATCTCATTCTTACCTGCCTAGTTCTTCCCCATCAGGCTCTTCCTCATCTATTATCTTCTCCTTCTAGTTCTCCATCCAGTCCTCCAATCTAGTTCCCCAAGTGCCTGAGGTTTACAGTTATATACCCCTGTAGTAGCAGTGCCCTGGCTAAGGCAAGGTCACCAGGCTTGAATTCTTATAGGGTCATAAAGGCAGATAAGAGTTTTCCTCAGGCAGTGACTGTCAGGCTTTCTTTTCCAACCCAAAAGGGGAGTGGTTAAGGGAAGAGGTCACCTAAGAGCTAAAATCAGTTAATATATCAGAAAAAGGGAATTTATGTGCTCTAACTACATTCCTAGGAGTGGTTAGGTAAAATGTTAGGAGTCTATAATGTTAGTATAAATACCATTAAGGCTGTATAAGAAAGGAGGGTCTGGGCTTAATTTGCACAAGAAACAAAGCTATGTACCTAGGCTTAGGAGATAGACGGTGTCTCCATAAAGGTGTTTACCTTAATTCAGGAGACTCAGTGGTTGATCTGAAGTGCTTTGTCCTGTCTGCTGTTTGGCTTTGGATGCTAGAGAAGTATATCAGATAAACTACACTGTTAGAAGTTCTTGGGGAAGGCATGAGAGCGCACAAGAAATTCATAACAGGAAACAGCTGATATATTAAAAGCCAAGTAATACCAAATATGCCTTGAGATTTGGGTTACTCTGGAAGAATTCCTTGATTCTCCCAGGTATAACTTTACTATATTCAGCTGAATTTCTACTTCATATTCCTGTGACTTGTAGCACAAAACTGTGGTGTTTAAATGCATTTTCCATATGAATGTCAAAGGCTTCCAAGATCATGGGAAAACCTGGAGTAGAGTGGAAAATTGTTAGTTTAACACTTTGTTTTCATTTAGTGTCTAGAATCCCAAGGTTATGGTTAGAAGTTGGTGAGGAGTTAGAGGCTGCCTTGGACTGTGTTCACAGGCACAGAGATTTCACTGTTTGATGCTGACAGGGTGTAGCTCATTAGTGATGCAGAGCTCTGTGTCTTCTGAGGATATCTGTAACACTAGCATCAAAAGTGACTTGACTGTACTGAGGCACCAGCTGTGCTTTCTATAACAAGGATGGCTCCTTCAAACAATATTTTGTTTTCTTGTAAGACCTAATAATTTTTGGTGGTGACAGCTGGGCTGAGTAAAAGATAAAAGATAGTTTAGATTACCAAAGGAATATATACTTAAAAAAAAGAATTTCAGTTTATGAACACAATATGCCTGTAGGTGAGTTTGCCATGCTGTTTAGCATTAGCAGAATGTAGCAGTGAGCAGACATGAGGGGTGTCTCCTGTCTTCATACCATTTATGGAGATGTCTGGTTTGAAAGGCACATGGTTTCTTTAAGTTGTGACATCACATGGACTGAACTGTATCCTTGTTTAGTGGGCATGGTAACTGTCACAAACAGTATTAAACTGAAACCTTTATGTACATTTGTCCCTCTAATAATTCCTATGTGAGATCATCTGCCCTGAGCAAACATAGGCCACAATAGGAAGCGGAATTTAATTCTAATAGAAAACACTCAGAACTTAAATTCAGTTTAAATAGAATTTAATTAAATTAAAAACAACAACAACACAAAAGAAGGCAGTAAAGAGAGAGATGAATGTAAGAGACTTGAAATACTTATGGAAAGGTGTAGCGGTCTTTCCCACTCCTCCAGTGGATATTTTCCTCTCATGCAGCCCTCTGCTCCTAAACTCCCTTGATTATCTCCATATGAAACATGGAATTTAGCCCTCCTGTCTTAGAAGCTTAATTGTAGAATTTATACAACATTGAGAGTGGATCCTTTGTCTTTCATTTTTTAGACCTCAAAATATTGAGATTAATGTCTTGGTCCCCTGCATTAACAGAGTTCGTTCTGACATTAATATCCGAGTCTGAAAAAGTATGAAGGGCTTCAAACCTCTGAATGTAATGATGTGTTGCTCTGAGAGGTCTGCAGAGTCAGTAGAGGTCATAAGCTCTGGGTCTGCAGAGTAAAGCAAAGTGTTTGCACAGTTCCCATCCAGTGGTAAGGACAGTCATTGGAATGTTGGCATCTTTAGCTTCTCACAGGACAGTCCTTCCTTGGGTGGCTCATTTATGTGATTCAGAATTTTGATCTACATTAAATACAATGGAAATGTTTGAAAATGGCCTGAGGTGTCTGCTGTCACTCATTTTGATGAGCTGTTTTTCAGTTTAGCTCATAATGTAAAAAGGCCTTCCATCGCAATTTCTACCTGCATTACAGCTCACTGCCATTTCTAATTTTAAGACTTTTTGGAAGGATTGACAGGGACTTATCATAGTACATTATATTTAAGAAGAGAAAGTCTTGTTAATTGAAAATGAAATCCCATTCACAGAATAGAATTATAGTGTTAAAGGGATGAACATCCAAGAGTCAGATTAAATTGTTTACAGTGTTAGCTATATGTAACAAATTGTTATGGTTTTTTTTTGGTTCACATTTAAATAAATTATTTTTTACCTTTCAGAAAAAACAAGGAGGGAAATGACAACCAAAGGTTCTACTGGCATTGAAGTTCTGTTGTCAACATTGGAGGTATGCCACTAACAGCCTTCAGTGTTGTAACTGTCACAGGAGGGGTGTTGAAGTTATTAACACACACAGCAGGAGGGACACTGAAGTGAACATACATATGTGAATGCACTACTATGTATTATGTAAGCATATATTTGCCAATGATTATAATAACTAAAATTTAATCTCAGATGTTTTTAAACATTTATTCTGTATGTGTAGGAGGGCATACCTGCCACGGCACATGTGGATGCCAGAGGACAATTTCGTGGAGTTGGTTCTCTCCTCCCACCTTTATGTGGGTTCGGATGATCAGAGTCAGGTCTTCAGGCTTGTGCAGCAAGCACCTTTACCTGCAGAGTCATCTGGCTGGCCCTAAATTTTAGTCTTTTTTTCTTAACAAAGAACTCATTTTTATTATCTTAATTATATATATGTGTCTGTGCGTATGTGTTTAAGTGTAGGTGCTCATGGAGGCTAGAAGTTCAAGGTGCCTGTGAGCTGCTTAACATGGGTGCTGAGCATGTTAAAGCACTTATGGCCAAGTCTGATGACCTCAGTTCAATTCCAAGGACCCACATGGTAGAAGGAGAGAATCTGTGTGTGCAAGTTGTCCCAGGAACTCCATGTTCACTTCCATATACACAAATATGTAAATGTAAGAAAAGTGATGAAGATACTGAAGTTTTAATAAGAGTATAGTAGAAGCCAATACAGTTGTGCCTATAGAAATTAGAAAGGTCATTTGTTAGATGTAGGTCGTTACCAGCAGGTTAAAACATTTGAAATAAAAAAACCAGTGTTTTAATAAAACAAATTAACTGCAAATCAACTATTTGTTTCAGAATACGAAAGATCTTCAAACTATACTTAATATCTTAAGTATTCTTGTCGAGCTGGTATCTTCTGGTGAGTTTTGATTTACTTTGATTTGTGTTTATAAATAGTGACCAGCTTTGTGTCCTATGAACTTCATTTAAAGTTTCTTGATATTAAAATTTTGGAAATGAAATGTCATGTTCTTGTTGTTACTTCCTGTCTGAGGGAGTGGGGAATATGTATATGCTAGAAGAAGGCACTGAGTGTTGGACTTTTTTTACTCTCCACCTTATTTCTTTGAGCAGGGTCTGAACCTGGAGCTTAAGGTTTTCAGCTAGGCTGTTAGGCGGCAGTCCCATTGATCATCCTGTCTTTGTCCACAGTGCCGTGAGACTGTGCTCAGCTTATTACATGGGTGGCTGGGATTGCCTTATGATTGCACAGGAAGCTCTTAACCACTGAGCCATCTCTCCACTGCAGTGCATTTTTTTTTTTTTTTTTTTTTTGGTTTTTCGAGACAGGGTTTCTCTGTGTAGCTTTGCGCTTTTCCTGGAACTCACTCTGTAGCCCAGGCTGGCCTCGAACTCACAGAGATCCACCTGGCTCTGCCTCCCGAGTGCTGGGATTAAAGGCGTGCGCCACCACCGCCTGGCTCAGTGCATTATTTTTGATATCTTCAGATACTGCTCAAATTCTCCTTGCCTACTTATACAGCACCTTGACCCTAGAACTTTGATATCATTTGTGTTTATTTTTTGTATGTGCATTTTAGATAAATAAGTGAAACAAAACAAAGTGGGAGCTGAATATGGTGGCAATGCCTGTCTTTCCAGCATTTGCAAGATTGATGCAGAAGGACCACAAATATTAAGGCTAGTTTTGGCTGTATAAGGAGACCCTGTAACCAAAACAAAAAATATGATTTTGATAGTACTTAGTTTCAGAAATGAATGATTGGATTGAACATTTCTTGAGGGCTAACTAATCATCATGCCCACTGTGGGAAGATATGCTGTTTGCAATATTTAAAAAAATTTTAGGTGGAGGTCGAAGAGCAAGTTTCTTAGTTGCCAAGGGTGGATCACAAATATTGTTACAACTGCTTATGAACGCCAGCAAAGAATCTCCCCCACATGAGGAACTAATGGTGCAGACTCATTCCATTCTTGCAAAGATTGGACCAAAAGGTAAGAGTTCCATTTTTATGATTATTGAATATAGAACCATCTAACTGTGTTTGTAACTTTTAATCTTGTTCTGTTTTGTTTTGTTTTTTTGAGACAGAGTTTCTCTGTGTAGTTTTGGCTGTCCTGGAACTCACTCTGTAGACTAGGCTGGCCTCGAACTCACAGAGATCCACCTGCCTCTGCCTCCCAAGTGCTGGGATTAAAGGAATATGCAACCACTGCCCAGGGAATCTTTGTCTGAAACTGCTTAAATTTTGAAATGCAAAGCACTACTTTTTCTTGAGTTTAACAGTGGAATATTTTTACAGTAAACCAGCAAGAACCTGGGATCCAAGATTCATAAAGAGTTGTTTTGAATGTGGTATAGAAGGGGAAGAATGCCATTATCACAGTGTCTTCGTGCTTGTGTATGCCCATATGCATATATATGTATGTGCATATCTGCATATGCATATGTATATATGTGTACATACAGATACACGTAGAAAGTGAACACGATGTGTGTTCTGGTGAAGTTAGAAGGAGGGTTGTGAGTGTAGTGTGTGGAAGTGTTTACAAATGAGCGTGTTGCTGTGACAGCATTTTCACTGATAATCACATTTGTACTGTGTGCAGTTGAGTGCTCTGGAAACTTCCCATTTACAAAGACCAAAGCAGATGTGAAAAGCTGTGAGGGTCCAAGCTGCAAAGAGACATGTGAAATACGAAAAGCACAGTGAATAAGGAGAGGGCAGGCCCAGGACCAGGAGAGGCTGCTTATTTAGGGGAACAGAAAACTCCTTGAGTGGAACCTAAACTCAGTGTAGAGTTGTCTATACATTGTTTTCACTTTGAGGAGTCTTTTTTTTTTTTTCATTTTTCTTTAAGAAATTTTCTACTCACTCCACATACTATCCACAAACCCACCCTCCTCCCTCCTCCCACCCCCCAGCCCTCTTTCCCAAGCCACCCCCAACCCCACACCCCCCAAATCGAAGTCTCCCATGGGGAGTCAGCAGAGCCCAGCACACTGAGCCTAGGCAGGTCCAAGCCCCTTCCCACTGCACCAAGGCTGTGCAAGGCATCACACCACAGTCACCAGATTCCAGAAGTCTGCCCATGCACCAGGGACAGATCCCAATCCCCCTGCCTTGGTGCCCCCCAAACCGTTTGAGCCGAACAACTGTCTTCCGTATCCAGAGGGCCTAGTTCAGTCCCATGGGGGCTCCACAGCCACCAGTCCACAGTTCATGGGCTTCCACCAGTGTGGCCGGTCATCTCTGCATGTCCTCCCATCTTGATCTCGATGTCCCTCACCTGCAGTATCTCTTCTCTCTCTCATCAATTGGATTCCTGGATCACTTTGAGGAGTCTTGATGTGAACATGCTATGCATACATGTAGGCATGTATGTCTTCATGTAGCATGCAGGTGTTTAGCTCATACTTTTAACAGATCATGTTTATAAGAATGCAGCTGTGTGGTGACCCTGAGACTAAACATATCTATCTTATTCTTCTTTAACTTCCGTACTTGAGATTCATGAATTCCTTTTCTGATATTTTTGTAGAAAATGAAAAACAAAGTTTTATTTATTGGTAAATGTGATAGTACATTCTTCCTCTCTAATTACAACCAAGTTATCTTTTACTTTTCATGAAATTAAGATATCGATGTATCTGTTCCTTCCACTTTAATTCTAGGTCATCTTTTTATTCTGCATCTTAAATTGTACTTTTCCCGTTAGTATTTGTACAACTTCTCTGTTCTTATGTCATTCATTCAGGTTGTACAATAATTTCTCGAGTGATTTTCTGTTTTTTTTTTTTGAAATAAAAGTTACTTTCCCTTAGGAATATCTAATTTTTTCTGCATGAAAATTTGTGTTGTTAATGACTTACTTCTGCTGGTCCTGTTTCTTAATATTCTTCAGATCTTGTTACTTAATAATTTTTTTTAATTGTTGTGATCTCTTTGTGAGAATAAAAATCCAGAGCTTCTGTTCTCTGTAGACAAAGTAATGCTAATAGGTAGAAATGTCAAATATATGTGTACTAAGATATCACCCTGTATTCTATAAATATATATAAATATTATTTTATTCAGAAATTAAAAATAAAGTATTTAAGGAGATGGAAATGTGAACTGCCTTGACTTGGTTGTCATGTGCCATATCATGTACTGAGTTACCACAAGAGCTTTTCTCTTTCCTCATAAATTCTTAAAAGATTTAGTTTTATCATTTTAACATGCGTGTGCATGCGTGCGTGCGTGCATGTGCGTGTGTGTGTGCGTGTACATGAATGCAGATGCCTGAGGAGGCCAGAGTTTTCAGCTCTCCCAGGAACTGGACTGACATGTAGTTGTAAGGTGCTTGCTGTAGGTCCTGGGTGCTGAACTTGGGTCCCCTGGAAGAGTAGTAAGCACTTCTAACTGTTAAGCCATTCTAACTCCCCTCTTAGAAATCTGTTTGATATATTTGCCACATTATTTTCTATTTTAAGATATTAATATTTTTTATTAATTTGTATATTATTTTATAGGTATGAAAATAATATGTTCACATTAAATAATATTGGTAATGGATATTTAGATTATTTACTCCTCTTCCTACCTGTATTTGTGGGAGGTGTGTGGAGTTGGGCTCACTGGAGCATACATCAGGTATCTTCTCCTCGCATGGGACCATATATGCTGGGCTGCTCTAGCCCTCCCCTCTCTTAGTCTCCTGCCTTGTTGTTGTAGGATGTGTTTCAGAAGGGCAAAGGGTATTAGAGATTATACATAAATAGTTATCTTTTTGATTATTTCATGCCAACTTTGCATCTGATATGAATATATAGTACAGATTTAATACGTCACTGCTGTTTTGCCTGGCAATTCTAGGCAAGCCCTCTACCATTGAGTTATATCCTTTGTCTTCATTGCTTTTCATCTTTTTTTTGTTCAAAAGTTTTATGTGAATAATTTTTTTTAAACAGATAAGAAATTTGGAGTGAAAGCTAGAGTTAATGGGGCACTGAATGTAACTCTAAATTTGGTCAAGCAGCACTTTCAGAACTATCGCCTGGTTCTGCCTTGTCTTCAGCTCTTGCGAGTGTATTCTACCAACTGTGAGTACTTCAGGGTGGCTATGATTTACTCAGGGTTGTGAAATTATACAAAATGAAGTTCAAAAACCATCTAAAGTCAATAAATCTCTAAAATTTGTGGAAAGTAAACTTTAATATGACTCGTAAGTCAACAAAAGCGATTTGCAGTAAGAAGGGAAGGTGACAAGATCTTGAGAATTCTCACCAGTTCCTTTCATTTGAAAAGGACTGGGGTGAGAGGGGAGCCTGTGGAAAAGGCTACAATCGAAGAGTATGGGGTATTGGCAGCTGGGAAATGTATCTGTCTGGGCCATAGCTGTAAGTGTCAACTTGAGAAATGGAGACTATCCTAGGAAAGAGGGTCTCAATAAGGGATAGTCTAGATCAGCTTGCCTATGGGCATTTCTATGGGTGACTACCTTGGTTGAGTTAATTGAGGTGGGAAGACCCTCCCCTTGTGCGTGGTTCTGTTCTCTAGGCAGAGGATTCTAGACTGTAAGAGTGGAGAAAGGGAGATGAGAGCAAGCATGCATGCGTGTGTCCATTACTCTCTATTCCTGATTATGGTTTATATGACCAGTTACTGCAGGCTTTTGCTGCCTTGACTCCCTGCTATGATGGACTGTTTCCTGGATTTATGAGCTAAATAAAACCTTTTCCCCATAAGTTGCTTTTGTCAGGGTATTTTGATCACAGCAACAGAAAACAAACATAAGATACTCTAGGTGTTCACAGATGAAAGAGAAGGAAGGCACATAGTCTTACCAGCGGCATTGACTTATTCCTCAATGGTGAGGCAGCAGAACACACAAAGAACAGTGCTGGGCCTCTGAGGAAGGTAGAGAGATGACTTCCAATCACCTCCCCCACATACTCTCACTTTGCTATATTAGGTCTCCAAACCTACGAGGTAAACATTTCTTGTGTTTTCTGACTGTGAAATCTTAGTTAGTGCGTGAACCATAGGAAGACGGCTCAGTTAGTAAGGGGCTCATTGTACAGGCAAAGGACCTGAGCCTGACCCCTGGTGTCCTTCGCCTGTAACACTAGCACAGGGGAGGGAGTGAGAGGGGCTCTCTGGAGCTTGCTGGCCAGCCTGTTTGAATGACTCCCTGAACTCTAGATACAATGAGAGACCCATCTCAAAAATGTAGACTAGAAAAAGACTTGACATAGACTTCTGGCCTCCATATGTACACTCATGTCTACACGCACACACACACACACACACACACACATTAGAAATGAAGTATACATCATTTGTATATCATGAAAAAATATTGATGCAGCACAAAGTATGTGTGTACACACATTGTGCATGCTGACAATTTAGTTGAGGGTATGCTCAGAAACAAATGAACACATATGACTAAGAAGAACACAAGCAAAGAATTTGATAATTAATCAACAGAGTTAAGGATAGACATTAATAGTAAAATTGAGGGATGAGTTAGGAAAGGGTCAAAAGAAAAACTTGATTTAGATCCCAGCAGTTGGGAGGCAGAGGCAGGTGAATCTCTTGAGTTCAAGGCCATCTTAGTCTATAGAGCGAGTTCCAGGACAGCCAGGGCTACACAGAGAAACCAAACCTTGTGTTGAAAAGCCAAAAACAAACAAAAAGCAAAAAACACATTAATTAGGAAAGAGGAAAATTGATTGAAAAATTAAAACTTGATTTGAATTAAAAATGAAATAATTTTAAATACAGCAGCCAACCAAGAGAAGAAGATGGTAAAAATATGACAGGAAGGCTGACCCAGGTGGTAAAGCGGAGACTGGGGTTCCCATGGGACAGAGGAACTGTGGTGTAGTCAATCTACTAGGAGCCTAACAAATGGTTTATGTGTAATTTTGTGTGTGTGTGTGTGTGTGTGTGTGTGTGTGTGTGTTTGTGTTTGTTTTTGAGACAGGGTCTCCCTATGTAGTCCTGACTGTCCTAGAACTCACTGTGTAGACCAGTCTGACTTCAAATTTAGAGAGATCCACCTGCTTCTGTTTCCTGAGTGCTGGGATTAAAGGCAGCCAACTACCACACCCAATTTATGTGTAATTTTTTTTAAAGTAACATTTGTTCAGAATTTAAAATACTGGCACAGTTTTCTTACTGCCTGTTCTCTGTAGCATACCAAAACTGTCATTGTTGTATACTCAGAGGTTGCTTTAGTAAAGATCCTGGGTGTATCTCACTAGGTGGGACTCTGCAGAGTGCTCTTGAGCGCTGCCCTGGCTGTTTGAAATGCACATCTAACTTGTTTCTGCTTGGGCAGTTCCTGCAGCTGAGGTCCCAACAAGAAGACCCTTGTATGTCTTTTCTCACCTTCCCATTTGCAGGCACTGTGTCACATGTAACTGTTCATACCTGTGATTGTCATTCTGACATTGTCCATGCTGTACCTATCTGCTGAGCTGTTACAGAAACGTCCACCTTCTAGCGCTAACTCCTATTCACATTGAGTGGGATCAGGCATCACTTTTCCCAGAAGTCCCTCTCTGTCTCACTCTGAAGTGGGGATGCTCAGTGGAATAAGCAGCCTACAACTCTTCCTGCATCTGGACAATGATGTTGTCATGATTTATAGTCTCTGCCATTGCTGCTATGCTCAGTTTTCTTAGAGCAGAGCCAATACTTGTCTCTTATTCCCCACACTCACTTCCTGGTGTCATCTCATAATAACTTTTTTCGGAATGCTAGTTCCTTCCAGCTTCCCATAAAAATAAAGTGAAATACCAACCAATCCCCTCAAATCCTACAGCAGACCTTCACAGTGTACTGGACAGCTTGCATTCGTATTGACTAAATACTTTGGAATGTTTTTGCATTTATCAGAAAGACTCAAATCACTTTGTATCTTTTTCTTGTTTCTCAGCTGTGAACTCAGTATCTTTAGGTAAAAATGGAGTTGTGGAGCTGATGTTTAAAATCATTGGACCATTCAGTAAGAAGAATTCGAGTCTTATGAAGTGAGTAAATGTTTTGATGTGAGTAGAAGTATGTCCTTAGTCATTCTGAGTGTTGTTGCCTTGATACATACATAAGCAGTTGAAGGCAGTTGTATTTGGAGTCTCTAGTTCTTAAGTAATTGTTTTGTTTTCTTTTTTATAATGGCGAAGATGTTCTTAATTAAAAGCTTAATGTTTTAATTAGAAACTTTCAGTTTGCTAAGGATATGTTTTTAGACATGTCAGTTTTGATGTGCTTCTCGATACTGTGAGAAGAAATAGGCCATTTACAGAGTATCATTCACTGAGACCTTTGTTGAGTGCCTACTGTAGTCCTCACCTGACTTGCTAACCTTCTAAAGACTGTCTATCCTCCTTCACAAGGTTACCTGACATGTCTTAAATTATACATTTCTATTTTGCCCAAATTGTGTTATTCTTTGTATCTTTTCTTCTCTTGGGTTATGTATGGGTGTATGAGTATATGTTTTATTGTGTGTATGTGTTTCAATTAATTTATAGGTCCTCTAACATCAGAAATGAAGCACTCTGTATTAGGGGTTATGCTTAGTGTAGTCATATTGAGGGGTTTTTAAAACTCACACAGCAAGGCTCATACTGTGTCCCACCTCATGAGTTCCCATGTGTCATCATTGTCCTGTCATTTACAATCTTGCCACAGTGCTGTTTGCATGTTCTAGTGGAGACTGTTAAGTAAGTCATAGGTATTCCCTATGGTATGATTATTTTTCCAAGTAAACGAATAGACTACTTCAGCATATACCTCTGTTAAATAAGGGTGGAAAAATAGGGTTACTGCTACAGAGATATCAACAGGATAATGCCTTACTAGAAAATAATCTCTGTGTTCTTGGGTTGTTGTAGAGTCACAGTTTTACATGGATTTGTTTAGATGAGAAATAAGCAAGTTACATACATTGTTTCCCAGAAACTTAAGGGAGTTTGCAACTTCCCAGAGAAGTAGAGCAGTTCCATGAACTCCTAAGCTCAGCAGTGGCCAGCATTCTGCCATTGTTATTTCATCCTTCTCACTGTCCATATATTGTATCTGCCATTGCATTTGATCTATAGATTCTTTAGTTTGATTACTATCAGGTATAAATTTCTTATGTTGCCACAAGTTCATTTTTGTGCCCAGCAATATGCATAGTGGTTCTTAATTTCATTTCTTGTTTTCTGACTGCTGAAAAAATACCTTCTTAATACTTGACTTATTAGTATCACCATTCAAATAAATTTTATTTGTTGGTTGTATCTCATAATAATAGGTATTATTAATATTTTTTGTTGTTTGTTTGATTTTTCAAGACAGGGTTTCTCTTTGTAGCCCTAGCTGTCCTGGAACTCACTCAGTTGACCATGCTGGCCTTGAATACAGAGATCCTCCTACGTCTGCCTCCCAAGTACTTGTATTAAAGGCATGTGCCACCACTGCCTGGCCCTCATAATTCTTTAAAAACAACAAACAGCCCATTGTTCTGTTGTGTTTATTGAAGGGTCTGTGTGATGTTTAAAATATGTCACGTTCTGGATTAGGTGACTATCCTAATGTATGCCTGTCTTGGCATACAGGTATGTCTTTTATGTGTACTTACAGCTTGCCTACATTCACTTTTTAAGATTAAATGTTTACGAGATGATGGTGGCAGTGGGCACTTGTGCATCATTTATGGTCACTGTGCTGAGGTATCTGTTTGTCAGAATATTCCTTCCATTGCTGTTTCATGATGCAGTATTCATTCTTCCCACTGCCTGACTCTGTTATTTGATTAGGGATTGTAACGTGAGGACTGCTAGTGCAAGTGAGAGCTCACTGCTCCATGTTTGGTTCCCAGCACCCATGTCAGGTGGTTCGCAACCACTTACAATGCCATCTTCGGAGACTCTGACCCCTCTTCTGGCTTCTGTGCATATCTGCACTGCACACATAGAGCATATAGTCATATAGATACGCATACTTATTTATAAAACAATTAAAAATTTAGTGACCATTGGGGTTGGAGAGGTAGCTCAGCTTGAGGTTAAGAGTGTGGCTTGCTCCTTTTTTTTTTTTTTTTTAAGATTTATTTATTTTTTATGTATACGGTGTTCTGTCTGCATGTATGCCTGCAGTTCAGAAGAGGGTACCAGATCTCATTACAGATGGTTGTGAGCCACCATTTGGTTGCTGGGAATTGAACTCACGACCTCTGTAAGAACAGCCAGTGCTCTTAAACCCTGAGCTATCTCTCCAGCCCATGTGACTTTCTCTTGAAGAGGTCCTGAATTTGGTTCCCAGCACTCATGTTGGCCAGCTCAGCACCTTCTGTAACTCTAGCTCCAGAGAATCCAACGCCATCTTTTAGCCTCTGTAGGCACTATATTAAACTGCCCATACTACTTTATTCACATAATTAAAAATAATAAAAATAAATATTTAAGAACATGTCTTCTTAAAGTTTTAGCTACAAAAAGTTTATAAAGATGAACATGTCAACATGAAGTATTTGAACTTTATTCTTCTAATATTTTATTATATTATTTTTAATTATGCATATATGTGCATGCATGCAGGTACTGTTGGAGGCCAGAGGCGATCCACCTGGAGCTGGAGTTACAGGTAGTTGTAAGTCACCTGATATGGTTGCTGGGAACCAAACTCTGGTCCTCTGTAATACCAGTATCTACTCTTAACTGCTGATCCATCTCTCCAACCTTCAGATTTTATTTTTTAACAAAGAGGGTGCAGAGTATTTGGACCTTTTCTTTTTGTTGTTTTCTTAAAAAAGGTCAAAGTAATGGAAAGTGGTGGTGGGCACCTGTTCTAGCATGTGGGAGACTCATGACAGGAAGATTGCTAGTTGGAGGCTAGCCTGGGACATTGGGAGAGCCTCTCTCTAAGGAATTAAATAGATAAATAAATAGGCCAAAATATTTGGGGAGATTACTTGTACGTATAATTACTAGTTTTAGTATTTGATAGGGTGGCCCTGCATTATGTAAACATCATGTACAGTCCTAACATAACTGGTAAAATGTAACAAAATAAAATGTTTGTATCACAGCTGGGGAAACCCACTTAACATAGTAAGTGTAGTGCAGTGGGCTGTGGGGGCAGATGAGCCTGGAGGTGAATTTCGCCCAACCATTCACTGGCTCCACAGTCTAGAGTTAGTTACTTAACCTGTCATTCTTCTCTTTCTGGGTATAGAGATAGTATTGGTATCTTCATTATAAATTACAAAGATTTAATGAGATGAGTCCTAGGAGCACAAATGTGTCTATGAATATAATATTTTGTTTAGTTTAACAATGTGGGAACTTGGGTGTGGATGAGCTCTAGATGATACTAAAGTATATGATGTATATACACAGCACTCTTTTTTTTTAATGGTTCTGGGGATTGAACCCATGACTTTGTATATACTAGGCAAGTGTTGTACTTGTGAGCTATATTCCAAGACCTGTTTTTTTATTTATATGTTATTTCCCCTTTAATATGTAAAGTTCATCATTTATCTTTTGTATACTTTAGTGTAAGGACCATGATCTTCCTATGTAATAGCTACATGATTCTGTTGTGTCCATGTTACCCCATTTAATATAAAATGTTCATAGGAGAAACACAACACTTCAAAATTATATTTGAGTTGACGTGTAGGCCAGTGGTGCTAGAGGGACTGCCCAGCCAGTCCTGGGTTCAGAGTACAGCACCACAAGTCAACCAATGAAAAGTGTTGTTACAGTGGAACACATGGGATATTTCCAGATGTTTCCATCATAGAACAGTAGGCCTAAAACTTTGAGAAAGGAATGTAGTTATCTAAATTATCCTGTTATTCCTTTTTCCCTGTGTTATTTAAATTAGTGTGTATGTGTATGTGTCTGTGTGTGTCTGTGTATCTGTGTATACATGTGTTGCTGCCATGGCATGCTGTGGTGTTCAGAAGACATCTCTGGGGAGCTGGTCCTTGACTCCCGCCTTGTTGAGGCATGGCCTTTCTTGTTGATCTTGCTGCTGCACTGTCCTCTTGGCTAGCTTGCCAGCAAGCCTCTGGCCAATTCTCCAGTCTTCACCTCCCTTTGTGCTGTAGGAGAGCTGAGGTTATGTTGCACACCACTGGTAGAGTTTTTGTGTGTGTTCAGGAGTCAAGCTTGAGGGTTAGACTTATACTGCCTGTGCTTTGATGTACCGAGGCCTCTCCCTAGCCCTGCTTGCCTTTTTATTTTCTTTAAATTTTTTCCACTTATTTATTTGTTTGTTTATTTGTGTGTATGTGTGTGTGCATGTGTGTGTGTGTGTGTCTGTGTGTGTGTGTGTGTGTGTGTGGTCAGGGAACAACTTGTAGGAATAGGCCTCTGTTTCCACAGTGTGAGTTCTGGAATTTTTTTTTTTTTTGGTTTTTTCGAGACAGGGTTTCTCTGTGTAGCTTTGCGCCTTTCCTGGAACTCGCTTTGGAGACCAGGCTGGCCTCGAACTCACAGAGATCCGCCTGGCTCTGCCTCCCGAGTGCTGGGATTAAAGGCGTGCGCCACCACCGCCCAGCGAGTTCTGGAATTTTAACTCAGGTAACTGGGCTTATCAGTGAGTGCCATTACCTGCTAAGCCATCTGGCTGTTCCTCTGCTTTTTTTTTTTTGTTTGTTTGTTTTGTTTTTCATTTATTTTACACACTGAGTGCAGTTTCCCCTCCCTCCTCTCCTCCTGTTCCCTTCCCCCTACACCTATCTACACCTCCCACCCCCCATCCATTCCTCCTCTGTCTCTGTTCAGAAAGGGGCAGGCCTCCCATGGAAGTCAACAAAGCATGGCACATCAAGTTGAGGCAGGATCAAGCTCCTCCCCCTGCATCAAGGCTGGGCAAGGCAACCCAGCATGGGGAATAGGTTCCAAAGAGCCAGCTCATGCGCCAGAGACAGGTCATGATCCCACTGCTAGGAGCCCCACAACTGTCACACACATTCCGGAGGCCTAGGTTGGTCCCATGCAGGATCCTTAGCTGTTGCTCCAGTGTCCGTGAG